TTTTTTCCAAGTAATTTTTTATCGGTTTTTTCCTATTTTGCTGACTGATAAATGAAAATAAGGATTAAAATCGTGTTTTAATAACTTTAAATTATCGCTTTGATGTCATTGGGACATCAATTCATTAATGGAATTCGCCAGAGAAGCAAACAAAAACACATTGCCTATTCTATGCCATACGACTTCCATTAAAAGAGATATTTTGGATCTCCATATTTTCCAAATTATCTTCTGTAAAAGAGTTATACGCTCCATAAAAGACCCTCATGTCAATTGCTAGTCACAAGAATGGCCGCTGTTACGCCTGGCCTCTTCTGGCTGTTGCCAGCTCTCTCAAGCGGCAAGGCATTCCTTGGGGTAGGTTTTTAGAGTTCAATCGGGAATAATATTCTAGGCATCGGTCTAAAATTGTCCAATTTGGTCCAGTTTTGTTGTAGGACATGTAGGCAGTTGATTCGGCGAGTAATGGCCTACCGAAATATTGCCTATGTGGTTCAAATGTGGCGATTTTGATGACCAGGGTAGCTGCTCATTCCCTTGGTTCTGTAAGTTATCTGCTATTAAAAGTGCTCTGTGTGAACCGGCAACCTCACCGTGCAACCTAAAATCGTTCCTAAGGTGCCCCCTATCAAATGATAGTCAAGTGGTTCCGAGATTATTCCTTAATTTGATCTGGTTCAGGTTTTCGTCGATGACTACCATTGGTGTTTTGGCACCAATGTGGTATCCACTCCAAATACTGACGCTGTCAATCACCCTTGTCACTTTAGACCCGGCATATGCTTCGTCGTAGGTCTCTTCTGGATAACTGTAAACTCTGTTTTGACTAATTGGGCGGTACAGGTGAAATCTGACCTCAATAAAGAAAGCCACGCAGTTTCAGTGTTCTACCCAGAAACGGCCATGGCCCCCAATTCATTAGAGAAACAGACGACGATGTTTTGCTGTTTACAGTGGGTGCCTCGGAGGTCGTTTGGTGTTCTTACCTGCTAAAACCAGTTTGGTGTTCGCTAAGGGCTTTGAAAAACGCATTTTGGTGGCAATTTACCCCTCGTTCTGAACGGACTAAGTGTTTTTTGTTTAGTTGCAGCAGCGTATCCCGAAAGACAGTGGGTCCTGTACCCTGTAGGTAAGATTTTGATACATTGGGGGTGACCTCTGTGTAGGTGCATCAGTCTGGGCATTACTCTATAAAACTGTGGGGACCGTTCCGTTTGGCGCTATGATCTGTCTGGTAATGTCTGTCTTTTTCGCGCCATTCTGCCATAGATTAACAAATTTGTAATGCACTACTTGACTCATCTTACGCACTGCAAAACTGACCGCTTGCATGCAAAATTTCAAATTCTTCTATGCAGTGGTTGCCGACATATGGGTACTTTTTTGACAGAACCAAGCTTTGCCTAAGCCAAGCTTTGACCAGCCTAAAGGAACACTACCCAACTAAATCACTACATATTACATAATATAGCAGCGCAACAGACATGAAAGTCAGTTAATTGGTAGCGACACACCTGACTACACACTTCTCCATTCACAAATCTTATATGAGATCGGAGTTTTTTGAAAAAAGAACGCATTTTTACCTAGACATACCTTCGAAACTGAAATATTCCATATTAAATGTCAAGTCTGTATATTCCGCTGACGGGGAGGTCAAGTAACGCTAGGACCTAAGACTTGCTTTAACGAAAGTATCTCAGGTGTGGTTTTGTTTGAAGAGATCACAAGAGTATTGAAAACGATGAAGCCAAACTATTTCCACAATTTTAGATTCGTCACTGAGTCTGCAATTTCTGGTAGCTTTAATTGACATTCATTATTTTAATTTAAAACATGAAAGAGATTTTCTTTCATAATTTTGGCTTTTCTTCCGTGATTAAGATTTGAATCTAAGGGTCTATTCAGAATAGATCTGAGTAATAACTGGTGAAAGGAACAAATATGTTAAAAAGGAAAACCGCTTAATCCTGTCATGGTCCCTCCGCCTCTCCAAGCATAATTAAATATTTACCTCATTCAACCGAATGAGAGGCGGAGAGACCTAAAGGTATAAGACGGATTTTATAACACTACCGTGTTGTTCCTATTTTATTGAACCTTAAGCATTTGCATTTTTCAAGTAGTGCGATTCGTTTACTAAAATGATTAATACAATGATATAGTGCATTACGATACGTGTATAAAGAAGGGCGTCAGTTACCTAGACAGGCTAGCAGTGTCTGTGATTGCCATAGGAGTTATCTTACCTGAGACACATTTTTCTTCCTTGATCTATAAACATATACAGTCTCACGCAACGTTGACTTTCAGTCAACCCTTCTCAGCGGATCGTCCTGATAAAAGAGGGTGCTACTGAGGATTTTCGTTACCCGTGAAAGTCTCTTTTTAATTCCCGAGAAGCGCGTGTTGTTCATTTTATTAAGTGTGGTCCGTGAAAAATACAATTCCAGTGACTCGTGAATATGTTTTTTTTATTCTTTGTCAGTCGAATAAAGATATCACTATACTCATTTATTCGTGATTTTCAACTCGTATTTAATGTATTTTGAATTAAATATATGAAAAAAGTTCTATCCACTGTGATTTATGAATTGATGATTTATGTCCCTAGAACTGTGATCACTACCCCCTCCCCTCTTAAAAAGGAATCTCCTTTAGAAATTACATTTCATTCACCCTCAGATAACGAAGAGATGATTTAGGTTTTTGTTTACATACACGTTTCAACAATGTAAAACAGCCGTTTGGTCAAGAACACTACATACATATTTCATCTCTTTGAACCATCTGTCCGCAAAAAGTAATTGGTTTTTGCACTAACCGTTTACTTACTAACACATGCTGTGTTTTTCAACAAACATTTCAAACAGGAGAGGTTCAGTGTTCAAATATAGAAGTTAATTATTAGTAAGTATACATTACAACGCTTAACCTACAGCAGCTGATGCATTTTGGTATAATCGGTCTTAAAGATTAGAAATTATTATGCGTGTTTTCTTTTTTCTTATTTGTTCATCTTTTTTTTTCTTGGTGCTGTTCTCCTGTAGGTGGTATTTTGATAAAAATCATTATGTACTATTATTGCATTACGCTTTTATTTTTTACCCTCTGAGCTTGAAGCAAAAATTTGCTTATTTTGAATATTATTTTTAATGAATTGAAATAATAAGAACATAAAAAACAAACAAATAATAATATATGTTATCTTCCTAAAATATGGGCTACTTTAGGTACAGTATCTTTGTTCCACAGCGTCTCATAATTCAAAATTAATTCTCAGTTCTGTTTATGCTCTTTGGTGAGTTTCCTGAATCTTGTATTTAAGAACCAATACATTTTTTTTCTCGTTTGCATTACTCCTTTCTTATTTTCAGTGAAATATGTAATAAGGGTATAAATTCCTCAAATGAGTAATTCAAAATAAGTGCGTTTTCTTTCTTGGGAAGGGGGGTGTCTTGTGGGTGAATTGTCAAGAGGGTGGAGTTGTCTTAGAGGAGAGGGGCGTTGAAGGGAATTTTTTTTTTTTTTTTTGGGGGGGGGGATTGTCTAGTGGGGTTGTCCTAGATAAAAATCACTCACTGAGAAGGTACAAAACTAGAGGAATAACAAGAGAGGGAGAGAGAGACATCTAAAATGTATATTTGTAGCATACATGAAGTTTACCCAAGCCGAACATACATTCGTTGATTTTGTAACAACTTTGCATACATTTTTAACGCAAACGTAGGCAGAAAGCTGATGACTTATTACAGATTAATGAAGAGAAGGGTTGAAAATTTGCTCTTTTTAATTGCATTGAAAATGATATTGACACTGGTTGTGAACGACACACGTCGACAAATTTTTGGAGGTATAAATAAAGGTCCTCCTCTTCGGAGACTTTACAGTTGGTTTGTGGATACTTTTAGGAGTAAACCTTGCGTATCGAATCTTGCAAAAATGCACAAGCTGCTGGTGTCGTTGATGTTGTTGGTTCTGTTTCAGTTCTTGTGGTAAGTGAAATGGAGAGAGAGAGAGAGCGGGATGAAAACGTATACATATATGTGTGTGTGTGTGTGTGTGAGAGAGAGAGAGAGAGAGAGAGAGAGAGAGAGGGTAGATATTAAAAGACGTCAGATTATCCGCCTAATCGTTTCTTTGAAAACCTGCATACGGGTGCCGTTTAAGCAGCTGAAGTCAACCTTTATTTTTTACAGGATTGAAGAGAGCCTGGGACAACCTGAAGCCCACTTGAAGCGGTCGAAGCGATTCTTTAGCAGCAGTAAGTACATATGAACGTCTTATACTACATTTGTGGTATTTGAATAAATAAGAGTAGTTTATTTTTTCTGTTCAATATTTCCTGGTTGTGGATAGTAACAAATTTAACGAGCAACACTTGATTGGTATTTTTTTTTTTTTTTTTTTTTTTTTTTTTTTTTTTTTGTTTCGTCGCTTTGACACATTGTTTTAGAATGGGAGTATTTTCGAAATATTGCTTTATACACACGGTACTGTGTATGTATTCAATATTTGTGTGGCAGTTGGAAAATGGCGTTGTAATAAACTTGAATACTTAATGAGGTACTCTTTCATGAGTCGCAGAACATATTTCAAGATATTCATAAAAGTCAGTGTTTATGTATGTAACATGTTTTATTCTTTCTATCACAGTATCGAATGCAGTGAGAAGGATTATCAGTAAGTTGACGTTCAGACTATATTCTCACTTTGTTTTAATCAATAAGTTGCAGTCCTTTCTCTTCTCTCGCGAGAATTGTACTTCCCAACACTTTGCATATGCATTTTGATGTATAATAGTTTTATAAACCTTTTTATTATTTTTCTATGTATTTTTGGGTACAATGTTTAAATGGCTTTTAATATTGCATTAAGTTATGTTTCGTGCAGTGATTATGATGCTGATAACATACAGTCCGACTATGTTCCCTTTGTAGCATATGCTGCGTATCATTTAGCCAATAGATAATGTGCCTTGCTTTCGTGTTCCAGGATGTCGTTCAGGCTACACGAGAAGCGGATTAATTTGCAGAGGTATGATTGATTTTCTTCTCCGTAAAATATTCTCCGAGATTTGAGTTTTCCTGAATATTTTCATTTTATACTCTAATAGCATTAAGGATGTATCAAAGGCAATGTATCACCTTTGACAAAAAAAAAAAAAAAAAAAAAGAAAAACGTTAATAACTTTAGAAAAAATGCATTCAAAAAGTAAACAGAAATGATAACCAGACATATAGAATTTGAATAAAGTCGAGTTGAGAAAATTGAAATTTAAAAATTTCTAACTAAACGTTAAGTCAACAGAATTGATGGACTATTCGTGTTGATTGCTAAAAAGTGGTTGAATATTTTAAGAAAATTAATTTTAATTCCAAAATCTTTGACAGGGACTTCTTCAGCCACTGGTACATGTATAGCGAAGTGACTGCTGTGTTCAGTGACAAGAATTTCTTCCTTCGTCTGTACAAATATACATTACGTTGACACAGAAATATATATCGTTCCTATTTTCTATTATGCTCCACATCATTTGGTGAAATGTAGACAGACAAGAAGCGTGCTAATTGGAGAAAAAGGCATGTTGGAAGACTCGTGCAGGGTCCGTCATGTGAAAATATCTTTTTAGACATTACATTCAACTTTCCTTTCCTAAATTGATCAATTAGCACAATATCTTACAATAAATACCAACATACGTTGGCAACAAATCAAAGTGTAGCTTTTCCAATCATTATAATTAATATTGCATTTTAGATATCAATGAATGTTCAAGTTCAAGGAGTAACAACTGCCACAGTAACGCTCGCTGCACCAATACTGCGGGAAGCTACACTTGCAGGTGTAATACTGGCTACACTGGCAGCGGCAGGTCTTGCTCAGGTAAGTACTTTGGGAGTTAAAATGTACACTGTGCACGATTGAAAATTTCTTGAAGCCATATTTTCTAAGTCTACGCATCAATAATAATAATAATAATAATAATAATAATAATAATAATACATTTATTAAAACCGTGCTACACATGCGTATTAGCGCTGTTTACATATGTATATGAAAACTTAAAACTGCTAAAAACTTAAAACAAAAGATACATAGATAAATTAAAAACAAATATTAAGATATATAAATTAAAAGCTACAAGTAAACCAAAATATTATTTAAATATGTTTCTTTTTTAATTTTGTAACAGTGATCAGAGTTATTCAAGGGCACGTCTGATTTGTTAATAAAATAGTATCATGGAATTGGTGCAGCAGTGTAAAAACTCGTATGACCATATATTTATGTGTCCTTTTAGAATCGTTTCGCTTAAGATGTAATTGACAACTGAATTCAAAGTAACAATGTAGATACATTTTAGCTGAAAGCAGCACAATCGACAAATGCTCGCGCATGGTAAAGGGAAGTGTATTTATAGTAACTGAGTCAAAGAAACAGAATTATTCACTATAAATTTTGTGTACTGGCATTTGTTTGTTTTTCATTTGACTTGAATCAAACTTAATATTTCTTTAAGTTAAAAATTAATATTTTTTTTTATTAATTTGAAAAGTGCATTGATATTTGTATGAAATTATTATTATTATTATTATTATTATTATTATTATTATTTTGTCAGATATCAATGAATGTTCAAGTTCAAGGAGTAACAACTGCCACAGTAACGCTCGCTGCACCAATACTGCTGGAAGTTACACTTGCAGGTGTAATACTGGCTACAGTGGCAATGGCGTCTCTTGCTCAGGTAGGGACACTTAAATGCCAATCACAGTCAACATTTTCCTGATCAATTCTGGTTGTGAACAGTAAATCTCAGTTAATTTTTATAGTTATTGGCAAGTTAATCTTTCTTTGTTTTCACTGTGCGCATTGAACAGTTTCATTACCTAATCGTTGTAAATAAACAAATGAAGTTTCAGCAACAGCAACATCTCCGAAACTTTATGAAAGAGATGGAATTCTACGAAGTACACTATTTAAAACTGTGTTTGGTCATTTGTTTATTTATTTATTTATGTGTTAATTTATTTATTCATTTTTTTTTACTTGCATCTTACTTATTATGTCTTTAGGATAATATAATTAATATCTGCTTCTTTGTTTTAAATTATTTTGAAAAAAGCGTTAAGGTGAAATTCGTCCTTAATATCATTATAACTTTTTGTTAGATATCAATGAATGTTCAAGTTCAAGGAGTAACAACTGCCACAGTAACGCTCGCTGCACCAATACTGCGGGAAGTTACACTTGCAGATGTAATACTGGGTACACTGGCAACGGCGTCTCTTGCTCAGGTAGGCTATCTGTGGTGTTTAAAGGCAGGTTAGACCTCTAATTGGCCAAAATCCTGGACATTTCAGAATTTTACTGTTGTCATCTAGGTACAAGATCGTTGAGAAAAGCCATCATCTATAAACCAATTCTGGAGGTCTAAATTTCAACATTTTACCCCGAGTTGAAATTACAATTGTCTTGTTGATTACAGCGTAAGTGTTGATAAATTTCCCAAAACAAATGCTTCCTTTCCTTAAGCCCCTAGACCTGTGTGTACTTCACTTACCATGTGCATCACAGGTTATTCCACCCAAAAATCAAACAAAATAAAGTAAACCCCAGGAACGGTCAGCTTGGCGCGTGCTAAAAATTAACGATCAGGCCAGTTTTGAAAATCACCCAGTCTATGATTAAACTCCTCAAACATGTCGCCTTAATAATCAATCAATTACTTAATGAATAATTTTTTTTTAAAATGTTGTACTAGCGCTTCTATGAAAAGCATATGGGTGGTTAATAGATTAATTAATGACAAATACACATTCAAAATGAAGGAATATTCATTCCAGATATCAATGAATGCACCTCTAGACGCCACAGGTGCTCCTCCAACGCTTACTGCATCAATACCATAGGAAGTTACAGATGTTCGTGCAACTCCGGGTATGCTGGGAACGGATTCACGTGCACAGGTACCGTTGATTGGCCAAATATTGGTCAATGATGACTCTTTTATTCAGTCGAATTATAGACGTGGTCAGACCGGCCAATATTGCTCAGAAGCTGAAAATATGTGATTTACAGCCCTCATAAAACTAGCAGCAGCGTTCCTTAAAAAACTTCCTAACGATGCACACACACACACACACACACACACACACACTATATGTTATGTTCTCTCTGTGTATATTTTCCTATGCATTGTCGCCACCATCCTCATCGTTTTAGATAAAAATGAATGCGCGCATGACACTCACAATTGTGACGTTAATGCTGACTGCGAAAATACACAGGGAAGCTTCACCTGCAGGTGCAGAGAGGGGTTCCAAGGCAATGGAGTCCAATGTACAGGTGTGTGTTTTCTTCTAAATTTGTAAATGTGGCGTGAAAATGACAAAATGTATTTATTTACTTATTTACTGATTGCAGTTTTATTAATCAATATTCCAATATTCATCTGTAGATATTTTAGAATGTATTCGGGATTCTTTTCAAAACACAATTTTTAAAATAATACATAAAATTGAATGATAAGTGATTTTTTTTATGCAAAGTGAATTGTTTTCTTTTTTGATTTTTTTAAACAGTTACTTCGAGAATGAGTAAGGGTAAACTGATTTTTGGTAGAGTAGAATAGTCAATTTAAATAGGGAAATAGGGAGATTCGATTTGTAATTCTGGGCATTTTATACATCAAATAATGTAATATTATACTTGAATATGTAGTATTTAATACTGTTAATACGTGTACTTGCAATTGTATGCACAGATCACCTTGAAAATGGATAATCTATTAGATAATAAAACCATTACTTTTTGACATGCATTTTAGAAAAAAAAGGTATATTTGACGTTGATACCGTCCTCTGATGCACACATATTTCAGACATAAATGAATGTGAAAGTGGGACACATACCTGTGACGGCAACGCCACCTGTACCAATACCCCAGGCAGTTACACGTGTTCATGTCACAACGGTTATGATGGGGACGGCCACGAGTGTGAAGGTGAGGTTTAGATAATAAAAAAAAAATCAACTATACAGTAGAGAAGCGGTGTTATTTGTAGGTCGTTAGCTGCGTAGTTGGGGCACAATATCAGTGCTTGCCGTGGGCGCTTTTGTCGCCCTGGGTCACGAAAAAATTAATGATATGTCTTTTTAAAATTAACCTCTAACGTACTGTGAAAAACCAATACACAAGTTGGCAAAAGTCAATAGACAAAGTCAATTGAAAGTGAATTATGTTAAATGTGTTATCAGGTTATCAATCTAGACAACGCTTATATTATCAAGCTGTTTACAAGGTTTTTGAAGAAGGAACCTTCAAGGGCAATGAAGCATCTTGGAGGGGGTCTCTCGGGGGGTTGAGACAGCACGAACAGAACTCCCTGGCGAGATTTGTACGAGTGAAGATGATCAGGTGTTTGATTTCCTTTTGTATTCTTCCAAAAAAAAATATATTTTTTTATATTTTACATTGCAGACGAAGACGAATGTTCTGCCGGCACACACGATTGTGACGTCAATGCAGTTTGCACAAATACGGTTGGAAATTACACGTGCGAGTGTATGGACGGTTACCAAGGCGACGGTCATATCTGCGAAGGTAAGGCTACAAGATGAAATTGTTGCCCAAAGAATGCTGTTGTCATATTATTTATTTATTTATTTATTTATCAATTTTTTGTGGATATGCCCAGGTGTTTTGTTTTTCGAGTGAGGTGATAATATGAAATGTCTCACTTGTTTGCACCGACAGTCTGAGTGACGTAAAGGACCTTAATGAAATAACAGGCTCTGGGTAGTATTGCGTCTTGCTGTTATTTAATCATTATGATTTTTGTTTTAATGGAATACAATAACACAGTGCATGTAACTTAAGCTTATGCCTTCACTTTCATCTTTGTGAATGGGGCATTTATTTATCTTTTTATTACGTTCTACGCGTACCTTTGTGTAGTCCTCATGCATTAGAAATGACTATTGTCAAATTACCTTGTACCTACATTGTACATGTAGATATTAATGAGTGCGAAGAATCGGAAGTTTGCGGACCCAACTCTGTATGCACCAACACCGTGGGCAGTTATGAGTGTGCATGCGCAGAAGGGTACACCATGGGTGACAATGAGCAGTGTGTTGGTAAGACAACTGAGCATCACGTTTTTATCTCATCAAAATATAAAACTTCGTGCTATTGTGCAACTAAGAAAAGAAACGGGATTTAATTTAATAACAGGCGCTGGCATTACGTTTTGATTTTAATTTTGGCATGTTTTTTTTTTTTTTTTTTTTTTTTTTTTTTTTTTTTTTTTTTAATGAAATACAAAAATAATGTGCATAAGCTTAAATTCATGCCTTCATATCCATGTTTGTTAATGGAATATTTTATTACGTTCTTTCTTACGTCTAGGACCCCATTCCCATATATTTTAGATCGATCTATCCCTGTGGGGAGTCTCACTAGATTACTGTCAGCTTAGCCGGCTTAAGCGTCTGCCCCGCCTACTTAAAGCTGTAAGGGGGTAATTAACTATGGTGCGCGCTCGGCTGACTGCAATTTAGCGTGAACCCCCAGGGAGTTAGGTCGATCTATGTCTCTGGGAATGCACCCTTACATGCAGTTCGACAGACATGTTATCAAATACTCATGCATTAGTAATAATAACTGTCATACTACCTAGATGTTGATGAGTGCGAAGTCTCTGACGTTTGTGGACCTAACTCTGTATGCACCAACACCGTGGGCAGTTATGAGTGCGCATGCGCAGAAGGTTACACCATGGGAGACAATGAGCAATGTGTTGGTAAGACAACTAAGCATCACGCACGCACGTTTTTATCCCATCAAAATATATAAAACTTCGTGCTATTGTGCACCGGGATTTCTCAACCTTTTAAAGTATGACAGTAGTGAAGTTTTTATTTTTTTAGTATTTTCATTTTCAAGACTATGCAGTGCTGCGCTCACATTGTGCGTGCACGTACAGTACATATTTTTTAATAAAATTCGCCAGCTAGGACAAAGTACCAAAGCTACTGCAATATCAGGCTATGCGCTACTGAAACCGTTGGTATGCCTGTGCATGAATGTACACAAATTTTAAATAATAAAAAAATCATCTTTCTGGATGTAGACGAGTGCCTCTGGGAGGTACTCGTCTACATCTCGAAAGAAAGACGAGGTACAAACTGTGACGTCAATGCCCAGTGTAATAACACTGAAGGCGGTTTTGAATGCGCATGCGCTGAAGGTTATGCAGGCGATGGTTTAGAATGCACATATATTTTCAAAACATTATTATTATTATTAACATGTCATTGTTCATTCATCATTTTTGTATGGCTTTTATGCAGTCTTGGAGTTTGATATCAAAATACTGGGAAAACCCAATGAACCATCGATCTGATTATCACACCAAAAGGAAAATGCAATTGCTGACAAAAATATTAGAAACTTGTAAAATTGTGGTAGTTGCTACTGTAACTGTGGTACCAATGCTCAAAACCACGAATATTTCCAGATATCGATGAGTGCAGCAACGGTGATCACGACTGCGATTCAAATGCCGTGTGCAACAACACTGCCGGAAGTTTCGAATGCGCATGTTCTGCAGGCTTTGAAGGAGACGGTAGAACGTGCACTGGTAATTTATTTTTTATGATGACAAACAGTATATACATTTGGGTTTGTTCCTTCCCTTTGTGAGTAAATGGAGTAGACTGTTATTCAAAAGGTGTGGTCAGGCCAAACAATCATTGAATATTAAGTACCCAAGTGTATTACCCAATGCACGTGCTCCATTTTAGTTTGCCATTGAATGGAACACAACATAGTCATATAATTTAAGATCTATACAGAGTGTTACATGTATAAGGTTAGAAGTAAAATATGAGAACCATCCCTTCGAGGGTTATTATGCACTGCACCTTATATAAATAGCCTTCCAAATTACGTTAAAAAAGATGATACTATATATATATATATATATATATATATATATATATATATATATATATATATGTGAATACTATTCAGAATATTTCATACACAATCATTTGCTTATATTGTAGCTGTAGCCGAGGAGGAAGAATTACCCAGTAAGTACCATTTATATAATAGCGAAAAAGCATAAGTCCATTCAATGAAACGTGTAGGTAATAAAATCAAGGCTGAATTTCAGCCTGAGTACCCAATAAAAGACTGAAACTGTTCTATGACAAGAAATAGCTAAAATGTAAATGCAATCCTTATTCATTAATATTGAATTGAACTAGGCTACTGTGGATTTAACTTGAACGTCAAAAAGAACAACATATTAACAGCATCATTAGCATTTTTATTATCATTATCAATTTGATAACGCTGTTGTTGTTGCTGCTGCTGCTGCTATTTCGTCCTTATGGATGAGATTATTTGATTTAAGAATTTAAGCAACTTTGTTATTATCTATTATTTTAACTACTTTATAACTTCATAATCATCGCTCTTAATTGTTTAAACTTATTGTAAAGAGATGACCTCAAAAAGATGTTAATTCTTTGACCAATTTTCACTATAGCATTATATTGTAATTATCATTTGTTTGCATCAGCTTGTGAACGGCGAAGCTGCAAAGGAGATTGTCTCGATTTCCCGGACGGCGGCCAGGTGTGCCGCTGCAGGTCTTGGAAGAAGTATGGAAACGGTTGCGATGTCCTAAAGCAGACCTGTTCGACCAATTGGAAACGAAGCTGCGGCAAACTTACGCTTCGCGACGGAGAGGAGTGTAGGTAAGTTAAAGGTACCATTCCCGGTTTTCAACTTAAATGAAGATTCATCATAATTACTTGTTGTCCTCTTTTTAAATAATAAATTAATTTTAAAGTCATCTATATAGTTCATCTAAAAGTTACATGTGTATAAAATTGCCCAAGCTTCCGGCATATGCGTCTTCTTCAGGGACTGTTCAATGAATGAAAT